CAGTCATACTCAGACAGGAAAGCTGTCACTGGTGACAAAAAATATCACACTTTCACAATCCAGGCACTGCAAAGTCTATATGCACTTTATGAAAGCATGATAAATAGACTGCAATACAATTGATTATTGTTGGTAACTGTATCAGTAACAAATTTAATGAATAGCATAAATATTACATTATGAAACATTAAAATAGTCGAAAATATCATGAAAATTATTAGTGCTGTCAAACAATTAATCGCATCCTAAATAAAAGTAGTTTTTGTTTACATAATATATATGTGTGTGTATTTATTATGTATATATAAATACGTACACACACGCATGTATATATTTCAGAAAAATATGTTGTTTATATGATAAATTTATTTAGATATAAAATATAAGAATATAAATGTATTGTATTTTTTAAATATTTACTGTATGTGTGTGTATTTATATATACATAATAAATATACACAGTAAACACATATTATGTAAACAAAAACTTTTATTTTGGATGCGATTAATCGCGATTAATCGTTTGACAGCACTATTATTAATATTAATTAATCTTCTCACAAGACAAACATTCAAAACATAATTCAACAATATCTTTTCTTCAGACATGAGCCAAAATGTTACTTATCTCTTTTTCTTTTTTCCTTTTTTTTGGCCTTTTAAACTTATTTTCACAATAAACTAAAATAGCTATGAAAGCAGAACTTTATAAATAAAGACAACTTTGAAAGAGATTCATGTTTATTGTCTGTTCAAAATATGCATTATATTTTCATTATGTAAAAAACACTTTCAAACTTTGTTTGCGTCAACCCTGTTACTGAACATTCACAATGTTGTGGGCATGTATTTTTCCTGCATATTTCTATAGAGGCCCATTTTTGCCACAAGATAATAAATAAATTAAAAAAAAAAGTAACTGCAGCTTTTTACCACAAAATTATTTTTTCTTTTTCTTAAGAATTACAAGATGTAAACTCACAATTGTAGGATATAAATGTGCAATTCTGAGAAAAAAGTCAGAATTGTGAGATAAAAAAGTTGCAATTACCTTTTTTATGTTTTATTCCGTGGCAGAAAGTAATATAGAAAAAAATAGAATTGTGAGATATAAACTCTGAATTGTGAGCTGTAAACAAGAAAAAAGTTTATATAAGAGTTGTAATGCATTACACTTGTCACTCTAGAAAAAAAAACATTTTATGGATTAACACTGGGTTCTGCATCTGTTGAATTTCATTCATGCATTTGGCTTTTATCCTAAGCAAATTACATTGCATTCAAGATTTTTCGTTTATCAGTTCATGCATTCCCTGGGAATCAAACCCATGATCTTGGCATTGCTACTGTAGCTGCATGGTCTATTATTTGAGCTACAGGAACTACTTCATGCCAGAAGTGCATGACCATAAATCATCCCCATCAATAATTTTGCCAGAAAGAAGTCTGCTGTATGAATATGAGACATCATTTTCCAGGGTTACCTGACAGTGTGAAGCCAGACTGGTAGAGGTTCCTTGCAGGGGCTTTGGTGGGTGAGGTACGGGTGGAGGCAGATGGCGTGCCGCCCCTCGACATGGGTGAGAATTCAGACACGGGGCCGTCATACATGCCTCTGGGGACCGCCTTCAGAATGGCCAGCTTTAGGAGAAACCCAAACACAGTGCTTCAGTTCAATACAGGATTGTGCAGCACACCATTTATAGAGAACGACAGAGTTTGGGTGTTTGCAGTTACATTCCATGGATGCGTTTCTCCTCATGTGGGTTGTTTTTGGGAATTGTGTGCTGAAAATTGTGTTGAAAATTGGTTCCAGATTTGGCTGACAGATTGTTGAGACGGTCAGTCGTGTTGCACTATCATCTCTATTTTGTACAATGTAAGCAAGCTATTTTTGAGATTTGCTGTATTAATACAAACAGTGGACAAAATGCAGGGAGAGGAAAAAACAAACTGTGACTCAACCTAAAATCATCTGAACTGAAAGAGTACAAACATTCAAAGATATATTCAAGATTTTGGGATTTCAAGATTTGAATCCCAAGGCCATCCAAGTTTGTTTCTTCATCAGATTTGGAGAAATGTAGCATTGCATCACTTGCTCACCAATATGCTCACTTAATGATGGATTTGTTTCTTACAAACATGCAGCTTTTGGTTTCTTAAGACATTAATTGATAGACTACTTGTGGATTATTGTGATGTTTTTATCAGCTGTTTAGAATCTCATTCTGACGGCACCCATTCACTGCAGAGCATCCATTGCTGAGACACTGATGCAATGCTACATTTCTCCAAATCTGATGAAGAAACAAACTCATCTTTTGGGTAAACTCTTCCATTAATTCCCACCCATGTCATTCCAAACCCATAAGACCCCAAATGAAGATATTTCTGAATAATAATTTTAATGACATTTTAATGATTGGGATAGAATCACTGATTCACATTCATCAAACAAGCACGTCTGAGCTTCTGTTTACCATGATCTATAGATATATGAGCAAATCAGTGTTTTTATGTGAATAAAAAGCCTAAATTAAATGTTTATCACATAAAGCAATGACCTTTTTTTTTTTTACTTTTTGAAGCTTGAAAATGATATGACTTCCTATGGACGGCCAGAAATCTCTCAGCTTTCATCAAACATATCTTCATTTGTATTTTGACGATGAACCTAAGTCTGATGGGTTTAGTACAGTAAGGGTGAGTGAATGATGACAAAATGTCCATGTTTGCATGTAATATCTCTTTAAGTGTTATGTTTTCATTTTGAACCATGTGAACACTTTTATGCGGCTTCTTTCTAAACCTTCTGCTTCCTTCTGTCTGCTTTTGGCATGATGGTGGAGCCACAGTTTAAACTGTTTACAGGCCAAGAATCCCATGTCTGCATTCACTCTAGTTGAAACCGCAAAAAGAACTAGATTTGACTTTCCTAGAGGAAATTATGATAAACTGCAGAACACTGTGGGGGGGAAAAAGAAAACTGGAATTTCATTGCAGTGCTGCCTTGAATGCACTGTAAAACAAATGAGCTACTGTCACGCATGTGTCCTGCTGTACCTGTTTCCTGGCTTTGACACGTTTGTAAGCGAAGTCCGGATATGGGGAGCAGGGAATAAACCGTCCAGTGCCAGCGGTCGCATGCAGGTTCCCGTCCTCCAGAACAATCTTGCCCTGGCAGACGACCAGCATGGGCGCACCTCTCAGCTCCATGCCCTCGAACACATTATACTCCGCTGCCTAGAACAACACGAGAACATCATGCTGAGAAAGCTCATGTACGTAACACCTGTGTCCCAAAAATGACCACTGCAATGCAATGCTTTTGGACCAACTTTGTATTAACTCTCCTTAACTATTACGTACATTTAAATGAACCATTTGATGCATTGCAATTATTGTTCACATACATATTGTACTTATATTTGAAAATACCATCCTGTGATTACATCTGTAAATCATTTCTGTAGTTACTGTGCATCTATAATTGCACTGTTGACCCTACCTCTACCCCTCAAACCTAACCAGACCACCAAACTGGCCCCTAAACTTACTCGCATTCCACCTCAATAGCAGCAAAAAGTTTTGCAATTCTACATGAACACTGTACCTAACAATTCATTATTTTATTATTAAATATTTAAAGACAAGTGGGACCATACTTTTTTGTGACATGTTACTATAGTACTACCATGTACTACAATGGAACATGGCTGTTTTTTGTCTTTGCTTTTTTGTAATGTGATATTTATATTTTAATCCTTTTTGTGCACATACAGTGCAGTGATGCATTTTTAATAGCCTTCAATTTGCACAATGACTTATTAACATGAATTGCATTTGAAATGCATAAATAAACTGCATTTATTTAAACAAAAGTATAGTAAAAACAGTAAAACAAGTGAAACATTATTACAATTTAAAATAGCTTTTTTCTATGTGAATACGGAGTAAAATGTAATTTATTCCTGTGATCAAAGCTGTATTTTCAGCATCATTACTCCAGTCTTCAGTCACATGATCTTCAGAAATCATTCTAATATGCTGGTTTGCTGCTCAAGAAGCATTTCTGATTATTATCGGTGTTGAAAACAGTTGCGCTGCTTCATATTTTCATGCAAACCGTGATACCTTTTTTTTTTTTTTTAGAATAGAATAGACTCTCTGATGCACAGAAAGTTCGAAAAACATCAAAAACGTCCAACATGACATTGAGCTGCTGCACTTTTCGACATAAATTGACACAAACAGCTGTTTTGAGTTTGAGCTTCTGCAAAGAGGAACGTCGAGATATTCCTCACTAATGAAGATCACATGTAGGACTCCGGCCTCCTTCATTCACTCTCGTTCTCATTCTTCACCTCTTCGCCAAACAGCTGGATAGAGGAATTGCAAAAACATCCGTCTCTATTTCCTCGTCTTTTTCTCACACTCGCAGCCTCCTGTCTTTTGTTAGCACTTTCTCTAAAATGCATCACTTCTGTTTAGTTTACTACTCCCTTATTTTCTGATTTCTTCATCTCTAGTGGATATCGTAATTGTAGTGGTGTCCCACCATGATCCACAGTCTTTCCACAGAAATTTGGCGCTCATCCATCCTTTGTATGTGAGAACAGGAAATGACATGCACACAACATCTGCCAAGAATGCTGGCATGGGCTCATGTAGAAAAACACAAACGCAAGGCTTTCTGGCAGGTGATGAAGTCATGTTTTAGGTGACTTCACAAAGCTCGGGAACCAAGGATACGGAGCCACAGAATAAACAATCAATAAACATCAGCCATGTTATCCACAGTTGAAAGCAATGGCAGCCGGCGCTGTTTGGATGTGTAATGGTCTCTAGAGAAGTGGCCGAAAAGGAAATGAAAATGTCATTTTGGCAGTGCCTGAGTTCTGCTGACTCTTTTCCCCAAAGGTTTTCAAACGATCCACATATTTAGTTAGCCCTTGTAGAATCTGCTCAGGAAATTCCAGTTCCCATCTCACTCGAATCTACAATCTGTAGCTCTTCAATCAGTAGATTAATGCTCTTATGCTGATGTTTGGAAGAGGAGAAAAGAAAGAATGGAGTCTAAGCGTCTGGACACTCATAAACCGCTCACTGCAGGTTCTTCAGAACTTCTATTGGACCGTGACCCAAAGATTGTCATTGTCCAAATTGTGGATTCATTGCAATGGTAACTAGATGAGGAACGTTTGCAAACAAACTTTGATGTTGGCTTGACAAAGCCTTGTTTGAAAGTTTGAAATAACCTTGAAAAGATTGAAGATTTGGTAAAACTTTAGTTTAGGGACCCATTCTCACTATTAACTAGCTGCTTATTAGCATGCATATTACTAGCATATTGGCTGTTAATTCGTACTTATAAACAGGGTGCGAATTACACAGTGATCATCGGGGGGGTCAGAGCACTGGGGGGGGTATTTTTATGTTTTAAATAGGGCTGTTAAGTGCTTATTTAAAAAAAATCTAATTAATTGCTTAATGTACCAATTAATCAAATTAATCTCAAATTAATGAGATTATTAATTAACATGCACATCATGTGCCGATTAAAGATAAAGTTATTATTAAAGATAATAGTTATCATTGTGTTCATTTAGAAAAAAAAAACACTAAATGGACATTACAGGAAAGTAGCTGAAATATAAGTAGCTTTAGATAGAAATATTTTAATTCAACATATAAAAATACAAATAAATAGTGAAATATTCAATTATTTAAAAAAAAACTATACTCTATATACAATTAAAAGCGTCAGTAGGTGGTGGCAAATACCTGTTTTAAGTCAGTGAGTCATTCAATAATTAATTCAATCGATTCGTTCAAACAGCTCATTCATTCAGAAACGAAGCAAGTGACTGCCTTTATGAACGGTTCACTGAATCATTGATTCACTCGATTTGTTTAAAAACGTGGATTCATTAATGAAAAACTGCTGTGTGTTGATCAAAGACGCACAACACTTCGCCTCGGCTTTATTTTCATTCGTGAAATTACTGACAATGTGTCTAAAATGTAATTATTCACACCTTTACCTTATCTTTACTTTTACGTAAAAACTGTTATGTAACCTATTTTTGTATTTCTACCAGCCAATGATGATTCTGAAAGAAAACACGCAGTGTTTGTTATAGTAACACATGCAGCTTTCACGCGCATCTGACAGAACTGCTGTATTGCTGTTAGCGGTTATTTTAGCAAATAGTTTGCTCCGTAAATTCAGTTCAACAGCATTAATTTGAAGAGGGTAAACTTTATCACTCGACTGAATCTACACATGCATTTTAGGTGTTCTTGCTCCATCCAAGCAATAAATGCACATATTTGAATGAGCGCTGTAGCGTATTTTTCAGCCGCTCAGGAAATGTCAATACGACTCATTTCAGGGCTGCCAAAATTATATTTTAAAATCAGCCAGGGCTATAGAAATGCATATTAATATTTACAAGTAAATCTCCATATTATTCGTAGGCTAGCCTTCTTTCTCTGACCCCCGGGTCTGACCCCCCAAAAAATGGACATACGAGGAGGTCAGAAAGTACCGGCATTTGACTTGAGTTCACTTGAGTTTGACTTGAGGTGGAGTATCACAAAGTTACTATATTTTAAATGTACTAAATTGGAACTTCATTATTACATATCTGCAGTGTTGGGGGTAACGCATTACAAGTAACGCGAGTTACGTAATC